CCCCCCCCCCCCCCCCCCCCGCATGGCCTCTATGCTTGAGTCGCGATGCAACTCGTAGGAATCTCCGACATCGTACTGCGTGACTTGAAGATACCTTGTTACGGAATTCGAGCATTCAGGTTTCGAGCTACGGGTGCGAGCCTCCAACCACATTCACTGACATAACATGACATATGCTCTCCCCACCCGAGCAAAAGTGAATCACGTGCTACGCAACCAGTACTATGCCATAGCATGCTGAATTGCAGAAGGAACCCTAAACCCTAAACCCTAGATCTCTAACCCTGAACCCTAATCCGAAACCCTCTGCCCACCGGGCCATGCCGAAGCTGAGAATTCGAAAGCCGTCGATACACCAAGATCCCAATGGTTTGGGGATTCACAAGTTGAGCAATGCATGCACGGCAAGTCTCTCTGCAGGCTCACCGGGTGAGGTTCGGGTGGGGGCTGGTATTCTCAAAACCCACCTTTGGAAGAATGCACGTACTGAAAGCTATCCGGCTCAGAATGCTGGCCCACAGAGTGGGGCATCATCGTCGCCGCGTCCATACGCTCGATGATCTCCCGCGTTGCCTTCAGCATTTGCTACTGGGACGGTCTCGCAAAATCACGTGAACAAATTACCGGTAGCCGGTTCGTCCCGCATGCGGGCTCATAGCCTAGGAACGAAGGCAACCGAATCCCAGCAAAGGAAACTAAGAATCCCATCGACGATCGCATAGGCAACTATGCTACAACGCTCTTGTTCTGCAGGTTCAGATCGGTTCAGACCTTGACACATTACCCCGCAAACTAGGCAAGTTCTGAGCTGCACCTGCGAGTTTCAAAGCCTGTGCCATGGGTTGTGGTTAAAGGCTTTTGGTCTGTTGGGCTACCATTGCCTCATCATTTATCAGAAGGACACGGCCTTGCTCCGAAGCTGCGCGTCAACTGACTGACCCTCCGGGGCAACAGCAGTGCTAAGTTCCATTACGTCGCTGTTTTTCGCTGTCTGCCCTTCTTCTTCTTCTGTGGACACTCTTCCCTAGACCCTAAACACTGAACCCAAGCTCCCTGGCGTTCAATGTAGGGGCCTTAATAATTTCATATATTATTTGTTGGGGGGTTCCTTCCTATAGTTATAGTATTTATTATATAACCCAAAACCCTATTCTAACTATTAAGGCTCCTACATAAATCCAAAGTATTCATTCGTGAGGAGCTCTTCGAACCTGGGGGCTTCCGAAGTTTGAGCTGCAAAGCCACCGGTTTAGGGTTTAGGGTTCAGGGTTTAGGGGAGATCAAGGGTAAACCCGGGACCAAGTGGAAGCCTGTGTCTCAACCACCCAAGGTTTCCTCGAACGGTTTGCAAGGTCTCACTCATGAAGGTTCGGTTTCGACGCCGAGGGTTCGGTTTTCGGGGTTTGGTTAGGGTTTCGGGTTTAGGGTTTGGGGAGGGGTCTTCTTGCAAGAGAGCTTCTGCGGCCCAGTTCTCTGGCTTGTTTAACGTCCTCAATCAATGCCGAGAGAGTCTGGAACATCATATACCACAAGGTACAATACCCATAACATGGAATAAGAATGAATACACTATGATCACACACTACAACAATACTACAATCTTATGTGTGATCCCTCCTGGCTTAAGCCGCAGTGTGAACTCACCAAAAACACACCGCGGCAAGAACAGAGAAGAGCAGTTAAACAGTCTTGTTTGTTTTGGCCGCAGAGTCGTTGTGAGACCGCTTCTCCTGAGCATGGATTGGAGGGAACCGGGTTGAGCAGGCAGTGCTTTCAAGCTACCGTTGGAAGGCAGGGCTTTTGCACATGGCCTCGGAGTTTTGGCGAAGTGTGCTTTTGGAGCAAAAGGGTTTGGGACAAACGTATTTCGAGACCGGCTCACAGGCTTTCGTTACTGTGCAAGCTTCGAGTCCCTTGTACAGATGTCACCAGCACGATGGGAAACATCATGAGCATGGTCAGCTGGACCATCAGCATCATCGTCGATATGATCTTCAGCATGAAGTCTAGAGCCAACATGTCGCAGTTGCTACTCTGCTAGTCATTAGCGTCCGGGGACCTGCCACCGAGGTATTGAATATTCTCGTCTCTGATCTTTGGGCTTTGGGCTGGAATCTTCATGTGATTAGCGCCCGAACTTCGGAAAGTTCCGAGGTATTGCACGCACTGCCAACGCTGCAAAACGAGGCGTGAAACGGAACATAACACAAACTACATTCCATCACTTTGCTGAGAGGCTTTCGGTATGCAATTGCATGAAGAACTCCACTTCCGGCTCAGCACGACACCCCTAAACAACGTGGGAACTCACAACAGCGTAGGGTGTCAATAACATACTTGTTCGAGCGCGGATGCGTGCAACAGGGGTCGGTCCAGCTGACTGGCTGCTTTGAACGTTGCTAAACGCGGAATTAGTCAGTCACTATGCAGGGACTACAAGTTCTAATGCTATTTCCAACCATTCCGACCACTAATATAGGGGCCTTAATAATTCGAATAGGGTTTTGGGGTATATTATGAAATATCTCAATAGGGAATCCCAAAACAAGTATGGGTAATTTAGGCTCCTATATTATGCGCCAAGGCAAGAGGGCATCAAGTCCTTCAGCCTTACCAGCCCTGAAACAGCGATTGCTTATCAGGCTGCTAGCTACAGGCAGCGGCAGGAACACAATCCGCAATGACTTCCCTGCAAAAGCCCCTGAGCATCTTTTGCAACGTTTAGAGAGCTACTGACAAGGAGACCCAAACAACTAATGAAGGGGCCTTAATAATTAGAATCGTTTTTTTTTTT